AGAAGTTCTGCTGCCGAAAAAATAGATGGAGATTCCGGACCGAGAAGCCCCATTTTTAGGAAAGTGGGCTGTGCCGGTTTATTTTTAAAGCGGGAGGCCGTGAATGACACGCGCTGCGTGCCGACCTCTCCCCTGCTTTATTTCCTCCACGCCCACTTGCCCTTTGCCCCACTTTCCTTAACTCTCTTTAAAAAGTAGTGGACTGCGCATTTTCATAAAGATGTTGGCAATGCCGTTCGGTGCAATGTGAGGTGTCAGTAAAAACGCCATATTCAAAGCGTGAATGATAACTTTCCAGATGGGCTGTGACATTATTGTAGGTCAGTCTGCTGAAAATATCTCACATCAAATTCCCTCTCTGAATATAAATCAAAATCTAAATAGTTGCCCAGCTGGCGTGGCTCAGTGGTTGAGCATTGACCTATGAACCAGGAGGTCATGAGTTCGATTCCCGGTCAGGGCACATGCCTGGGTTGCGGGCTCCATCCCCAGTGGGGGGTGTGCAGGAGGCAGCTGATCCATGATTCTCTCTCATCATTGATGTTTCTATCTCTTTCTCCCTCTCCCTTCTTCTCTGAGATCAATAATTATATTTTTTAAAAATCTGAATAGTTACCCTGGAATACATGTGTGTGTCTATGTGCAGCTCTGCCCGCCCGAGGTACCTGATTAGTATTAACTGCGAAACCAAAGCCAGAAGCCAACCCTCTTGCTCAGGCAGGGGGGCCCGTTCACCTGGTCTCATGACACCACATGTTTCAGACCCATATACACCAGTCAAAGGAGGAGAGAATTGATCAGTGATAAAGAAATGGAACTAGGTAGTATGCTTGTCACGATTCGATAGTTAGTATTTGCCACAACTTCTGAAGCGTTGTCCAAAGATTAAGACACTTTCTCATGGCTACAGTATTGAGCCCAAAAGTTTCTAGTTGCTTAAACCACATAGCCTGGCCCTGGCCGGGTAGTTCAGTTGGTTAGAGCATCATCCCGATACGTCAAGGTTTCGGATTAGATCTCGGGTCAGGGCACATGCAAGAATCAACCAATCAGAGCATCTCAGGTCAGGGCACATACAAGAATCAACAAATCAGTGCATCTTGGGTCAAGGCACAAAGAAGAATCAACCAATCAGAGCATCTCGGGTCAGGGCACATACAAGAATCAACCAATCAGTGCATAAATAAGGAAAACAAGTTGATGTTTCTCTCTCTCAAATCAAAAACAAAAACCCACAGAACCTGGCATGGGTGTCACCTTTTTAAAAAAAATTTTTTTTTTATTGATTTTAGAAGAGGAAGGGAGAGGGAGAGATAGAAACATCAATGAAGAGAGAGGATAATTGATTGGCTGCTTCCTGCACACCTCCTACTGGGGATCAAGCCCACAACCTGGGCATGTGCCCTGACCATGAATCGAACTCGAGACCTCCTGGTCCGTAGGTTGATGCTCAACCACTGAGCCACGCCAGCCAGGCGTCACCTTTGTTTTTAAAGGGTGTCTGAGACTGCGAGTCACTCTCTTGGGCCCAAATCCTGGCTCTCCTGTTGACTGGCTGTGTGGCCCTGGGCAGGCAAGTCACCTACCCTCTCAAGCCTCAGCTTTCTCGTTTCTAAAGTGAGGATAAGGGTACCTCCCTGACAGGATAATGTGGAAACTCGACTATTTATATCCCGAACTCCAGTGACTGGCATGAGATAAGGGCTCAGGAAGGTGAGCAGATAATAACCGTAACTAGTAAATGCAGCAGGAGTCATAAAAGCAGGTCGAGGCCCAAACATGATACAACGTCTACCTACCACCCAATTTTCCTTTTGCACCGAATTAAACCCAGCAGTGTAACTGAGAAGAAATGGCTAATCTTTAAAAGGATTTTAAGTGTATTTTCAAAGTTAAATATAAGACGAGGGTCTGTCTACAGACAACCACTCCGGCTGGTGACACCATTTGCTACTGAAGTTTGCATGAGAGGGTCTGAAAGAATTTTGCAAAGTCCTGGACAGGATGTTCAGCTCCTTCCGCGAGCTGACAAGTGCTCAGCAATGGAGCGCCTGCCTCGTTATAAATAGCAAGCCAGTGTCCCTCACCAGATTATGCGGTTGAATAAGTCACCACGTGCTGGACGGACACTTCTAGAAGGGTTTTAACTGAGCCACATTCCAATGTTCCTTTTAAGTCTGAACGAATATTTCTTTTCTAGCATAACACATTTTGTTTTAATCCTCACCCGAGGATATTTTCCCACTGATTTTTAGAGAGAGTAGAAGGGAGGGGGTGAGAGAGAAACATTGATGTGAGAGACACATCGATGGGTTGCCTCCTGCCGGTGCCCCAGTCAGGGCCAAGGGATCAAACCTGCAACGCAGGTACATGCCCTTAACTGGGAATCACACCCATGACCCTTTGGTTAGCAGGCGGGTGCTCTAACCATTGTACATGCCAGCCAGGGCTACCAGGGCTTTCTTATGGGACCCTGACACGTACAGTACTTGGTAGCGAATGGTTGTTGCCCTGGCCAGGCGGCTTGGCTGGTTGCGCACTGAAGGGTCGCAGGTTTGATTCCTGGTCAGGGCACATACCCAGCTTAGGGTTTGGTCCCTGATTGGAGCACATACAGGCGGTAACCAATCGATGTTTCTCTCTCTCTCCCTCTGTAAAGTCAATCATTAAAAAAACAAACATATCCTTGGGTGAAGATTAAAAAAAAAAAAAGACTGGGTTTGTCTACCACCTTCGGCACACATCTTAGGACACCTACGGTACTGGCTGCTTCCTGACCATGGGGTCCAATGTCACGGCCCAGTGTGATGCTGGGAGGGTGTCAAGACAATTAAGGTCTCTGGAGACTAGATTATGGCAGGAACAGAAAACTCGGCATAGGCAGGTACTGTGCTTTCTTAATGGCTGTAATTTTTCTTCCCGTCACTCCATTTAAATTTTAATATGTAAAAATTAGTATCAATTCACTTTATCAACAAAATGCTATTCTCTAGCACCCGCTTCATTGAAAGCAGGTGAAGAAACCCAAGTAACTCAATTCTCCACTAGATGGCAGCGTCACACGGATCTGTGGCCTCCCTCCTGCTGAGGGAGGGACAAGTGGGCAGTGCGCGCGCTGGAACGCGGAACAGGCAGCTTCGGGACAGGCATTTTCCCTTTTAGAGCAAATCCAGTTTGTTGGTTTGTGTGTCTGAAGTCAGGCTTCGCTTTCAAATTCTTGGGAATGGGTTGAAGCCGGGTCACTTTTCTCATCCAGCAAAAATGTACCGACCACTACAGAAATGTGGGGAACATAAGCCCGGGGGGAGATTGGGCCCCTCCATCGAGAGCAGGAAATGCCGGTGGGGAAAGCCGACTGGAGGGTGGGTGGCTACCCAATGCCCTGTCGGGACTGCAGGCCCGAGGGGGTGGAGTGGAGGGCGGTGTCAGCTGGGGATGTAGCTTTGAAAGCAGAGAAGAGGGCAATTCCAGGCAGAGGATGAGAGCAAAGGCAGGGACGGGAAGTCAGTGGGTTGCAGGCCCAGCCACCAGGTGAGTGGAGGGAGGGCTTGCACGGGAGTAAGATGGGAAAGCGAGGCCTGCAGGGAGCATGGGAACACCCCAGGCCTCCGAAGCGGGTGAAGGACAGGAAAGGACAGTGTGCAGACGGCAGCGCTGTCAGCGTGCGGGAAAGGCAGGGCTGGGGGCCAGCTCGGGGCTGCAGAAGCAGCTGTAAGATACACACCGGACACGGAAGATGGAGAATATTCCTTTATATCACACGTCTATGGTTACAAACAACTGTTGTTCACATGATCTCATTACATCCCCGGACCAATCTGTAAAGCTCAACACTTGTCACATTTCGAGAGGAACTGCTGCTCAGAGTCAATGCTCTCACCTCTGGCCACGCTTCCTTGGTTGGTTTTGGGGGAGACTACCTTCCTTACCCCCGCCCCCCATTCCTTCTCAGGAAAGGCCTTTTCTCCTATTTCCCCTTCAATACAGATGCTCGGGGCCACTCCCCTTCTCCTGCTCTACCCTCGCTGGATCAGCGGTCGCCAACGGGTGGTCCTCGAGGTCCGAAAGGTTGGCGACCGCTGCGCTAGATGACACCTTCTCAGGGCTCTGGCCACCACATGCAGACTGACAGCCGCCAGTTCTACTTCGCAGCCCCAATCTTCTCCTTGAGACCTGACCCGTACACACTCCTGCTCAAGTCCCGCACGGGAGCACTCCCAGCAGCCCAGGCCTGGAGAGAACGCCGGGGGCGGGGGCTGCTGGGGGCGGGGCCGGGGCACGGAGCACAGGGGAGAGCCACTGGAGTGCAGAGGGATGTGCATCCTCCACAGTCAGCACTCTTTTTCAGTATTTTGATTCCTACTTTAAACCTTTTAATACATGATCTTAATTTCAAGTTGCTTCAAATTTTTATTTGAAAGCGAGACGTTTACAATAAAAGTCTGAATGATGCTCCCAAGATCCCACGTGGCAGACAAGCCTGATTTTACAATCCACTCACTCGCTGGTTTGTTCAGCAACGGAGCACGCTTATGTCAGGCATCGTGCAAGGCTCTGGGCGTAGCACTAATTAAGACAGAGTCCCTCCAGGAGCTCACAGTCTCATGGTAACTCGAGTGAGCTGAGGCACAGGGTGGTACGTGATTTACCAGTGAGGTAGACATAGCTAGGTACTTGGAAAAGGGGCTGGAGCGGGAGAGAGGGCAGGGGACAACTAATGCCTAAATGCACCCCTCTGAGCGAGGAGCAAGGCTGCACACGGAAACATCACAAAGCTGCTGGCAAAAAGCTTAGAACAGCTTCCAGCTGTCACCGTCATCGAACTCCTGTCTCACACTCTTTAAGCCACTACCTGATGGTATCTCCACACTTGTCCCTGAAGGTGTGAGGCATGCCACCCGTCTGCTCGGACAGTAGCTGTAGGTCACCTGGACCCCATTCCACCACTGGGAATCATACTGAAAGTCTTTAATTAAACCCATGATCTTTAAGTTCAGATACTCACTGAGACACACATAAGCGATCTAAGCACTATACAGATATATACAGACATCACACTTAGATGGCGTGTGCACGCCCACCCACTGCGCAGCAGCTAATGCAGACGTGACCTCGCGTAAGGCAACTGCTTTTGTGATGACGACACATGATCCTTGAAGGGAAGGCAAAGTCCACACAGGACTGACCGTTTCGGGTTAGTGATACTCTTTGCGGAAGGTAGTAGGCAGGATATCTAGTTCACTGACAAAAAGCAGTGAGTTATAAAAAGAGTTGCTTCTGAATGTGGAAACCATAATCATCCCGGAATCTAAGTAGTGAGCCACTCAAAGACACGACTAGCCTTGTGCCACTGACGGAGGGGGGACTTCACAGTGACTGATCGCTGAGGATCAAACTCGATGCGTCATCATCCACGTGACGCTCCAAAGCCACTCAACACTCGGGGCTCAAATCCCGTCAGTCACTCACTTCACTTTGCTGTGGAGGATTTTCTTCTGAAAAATAACAAACACAAGAAATTCTTCTAATGAGGGTTAAAAAGCAACCAGGTAACAGCACACAATTCAACTGCAGAACAAAGACGAAGAGCCCTGGTCAGGCGCCACGTGACTGGCATGAAGCTGACGTTCGGTCACAAGAACACACTGGAGGGCAAACATGTACCCGAGAGCCCCTGCCGCGACTGTGGACGGCCTTCTCCAGCCACAGACCTCCCCAGCTGGTCCACACGGGGACGCCGAGATCCCAAGGTCTTACTCTCATCAAAACCACATGGAAGTTAACTGTCAGGTTCGAATACGTTCTCCCAGGCAGGGGGTTGCTTTCATTTTGCTGATCGTTTCCTTTGCTGTGCAAAACTTTTTAGTTTGATGTAGTCCCATTTGTTTATTTCTTTTGTTTCCCTCCCCCAAGAAGATAGATCAGAAAAAATACTGCAATGTGAAATGTCTGAGATTTTACTGCCTATGTTTTCTTATAGGATTTTTATGGGCGAGTCTAACATTCTCCCAACACCCTTTATTGAAGAGACTATCTTTACCCCATTGTGTGTTTTTGGCCCCTTGTCACATTTTTAAAAAATATATACATTTTTATTGATTTCAGAAAGGAAGGGAGACAGATAGAAACATCAATGATGAGAGAGAATCATTGATTGGCTGCCTCCTGCACGCCCCCTACTGGGGATCGAGCCCACAACCAAGGTACATGCTCTTGACAGGGATTGAACCCGGGACCCTTCAGTCTGCAGGCCGATGCTCTGTCCACTGAGCCAAACTGGCTAGGGCTCTCTTGTCAAATGTTAATTGACCATGAAGGTGTGACTTTACTTCTGGGCCCTCTATCCTGTTCCGCTGACCTATGTGTTTTTCTGCCAGTCCCAGGCTGTTTTGATTACTGTGGCCTTGATATCATACCACCTGATACCAAGTAGTGCGATTCCTCCAACATTGTTCTTTCTCAAGATTGCTGTACCTTTTCAGGGTCTTTTTTGCGTGGAATCTATAGACAGCTTTGGGTAGTATTGGCATTGTAATGATGTTAATTCTTCTTACCCATGAACACAGTATATGCTTCCACTTACTTGTATCCTCAATTTTTTTCCAGAAACCTATATAATTTTATTAAGTGACACAAGGTACATACTCTTGACAGGGATTGAACCCGGGACCCTTCATTCCGCAGGCCGATGCTCTATCCACTGAGCCAAACTGGCTAGGGCTCCCTTGTCAAATGTTAATTGACCAAGAAGGTGTGGCTTTACTTCTGGGCTCTCTATCCTGTTCCACTGACCTATGTGTTTCTCTGCCAGTCCCAGGCTGTTTTGATTACTGTGGCCTTGATATCATACCACCTGATACCAAGTAGTGCGATTCCTCCAACTTTGTTCTTTCTCAAGATTGCTGTACCTTTTCAGGGTCTTTTTTGCGTTGAATCTATAGACAGCTTTGGGTAGTATTGGCATTGTAATGATGTTAATTCTTCTTACCCATGAACACAGTATATGCTTCCACTTATTTGTATGCTCAATTTTTCCCCCAGAAACCTATATAATTTTATTAAGCGACGTCACCCAGTACATTTTTAAAAAGTATTATACAACTTAAAACCACGAGGACCTGACATTTCCCGAGACCAGAAAAGCGGCGTTTACCTTTGTCAGGTGTTTCTGAGTGTTTGCTTTTCTTAGACGCCGAGGGTCCTGCCCCTTCAGAGCCCTTCCTGCCGGAGCGCCCCTGCTCCACTTCACACAGGTAGACGTCGATGGGCCCCTTGGTGCTCCGTATGTGCACCGTGATGGAGTCCTGGAAACGACATGCAAGCGTCAGCGGCAACCAGGGGTTCCGAACTGTGTCTGTCACTCACTGGACAGAACTGCAGGTTCCAAGGGACGTTTCTAAACATGTAAATCCAGAGAATTTCCTTTCCATGTTTGAGAAGACCATATACTAAGCTTCTGTGACATTAAAAATAGCTCCTTGACATTTCCCGAGACCAGAAAAGCGGTGTTTACCTTTGTCGGGTGTTTCTGAGTGTTTGCTTTTCTTAGACGCCGAGGGTCCTGCCCCTTCAGAGCCCTTCCTGCCGGAGCGCCCCTGCTCCACTTCACACAGGTAGACGTCGATGGGCCCCTTGGTGCTCCGTATGTGCACCGTGATGGAGTCCTGGAAACGACATGCAAGCGTCAGCGGCAACCAGGGGTTCCGAACTGTGTCTGTCACTCACTGGACGGGTTCCAAGGGACGTTTCTAAACATGTAAATCCAGAGAATTTACTTTCCATGTTTGAGAAGACCATGTACTAAGCTTTTGTGACATTAAAAACAGCTCCTTGACCACAGAATGATGGTTCCAGAGCCATCGAGTACTGATGGGACTCCTCAGTCCTCATGAGCCCACTTTCCTCCCCTCGGGGTTGACTGACCCCTTCAAGGAATCTGTACGTGAGCCAAAACCCAGTGTCCTGATGACAAACAAACCGAGACTCCCCTGTGGTCTCAGGTGACCAGGGTGTGTTTCAATTTCCAGACCACTGAAGAGCTAACTGCAAGACCATTCTTTTGTCCACATGAAAAAGCAGCTGAGATCAAGACAAAATATACCTCCTGTAATTTAAGCCACTGGAACCCATGAGCATCAGGAAGTTGGGAGCTTCTACAGAGAATTATGCTATGTTCTTAAGGAACAGCTCCAGTTAGAAACGGGTCCTTTGTTCTGACTGCGAGTGGGTTCGACCGTCAGTCTTTTTCCTCCTGTCCGCGCGGTGGGCCTGGGCTGGGTACCACGGCAGCACTGCCCCTGCTGCACAGCCCAGTGAGAAGCCTCAGGACCCCGTGCCGCCCTTCCTACAGCCTCCTGGGACCACAGGTAGCTGGAGAGCATCTGCATCCCCTTGGACAGTGCCTGCTGGGGACAAGGAAGGTGGGTGTCCAGTCCTCCTCCCTACAGGGAGGTAAATCCCTACAGCATCACTGAGCACCCCTGGGTTGACCAGCCTGTCAGAGCCAACCGTCTGTCCCAGGAACGGCCACACTCCTTGGTTCTGACTCCATCCTTACCAATCAACTTCTGATGACAATTACCTTTCAATACTAACGTCCCTGCAAGGGGAAGAGTGTGCTGAGCACTGGCAGATTGATAAGAGTAATATTTTCACAGGCAACTGCACTTTTCATTTTTACTGTATGACGTAATATTCTAGTTTCCTCACCAGTCTTTTCTGAGCTGGGTTAGTGAATTAATCCCCTAGAGCAGTGGTCGGCAAACTCATTAGTCAACAGAGCCAAATATCAACAGTACAACGATTGAAATTTCTTTTGAGAGCCAAATTTTTTAAACTTAAACTATATAGGTAGGTACATTGTTATTAACTTAATTAGGGTACTCCCCTGGCTTAGGAAGAGCCACACTCAAGGGACCAAAGAGCCGCAGTTTGCCGACCACGGCCCTAGAGCCTTGGCTGACACCAGATTTCCTTCTGGAACTTCAAGACTTTAGCCAATTCCTGGTGATTCCTCCAAGGGGCGGATAGCCCAACAGTTAAGAAGACAAACTCTCAGGGTTGAAGTCTGGTTCTGTTTCTCACTCTGTGACCGTGAGCAAGTTCACTAATCTTCTATGTTAGGTTCCTAGTGTTGAGCTTGTTGTGTGATTTAAGTGAAAATGTGCACAGGGCCTTGAGCAGGACCAGCGTGCATGCGAGGGTCACACAGTTAGCGAGGCTGCCAAGCAACAGAGCCTCAGCAGCTGCCTCCCCCCCTCCCCCCCAAGGCTCCCTACAAACGCAGGTCACCTACTTCTCTGGGGGCTGGGACGTCCAGTCTGGTCTCCGCCGGAGCTCTCACTGCAATGACAATCTGCTCGTGGAAGGCTCGGATGCTGTGGATGTCTTGGTACGTCACATACGCGAGCGTAAACCAGTCAAGGATCTGCAGAGGTCTGCTCTGTGGGGAGGTAACTCAGCTCTTGTAATACAGGAATGCGAGTGGAATGTCAGAATATTACCAACGATTAAGGGGGGCAGTTGGTAAGAATATTTCCATACATAATTTGTATTTCATGACTTAGTGTTTTACATTTATAACTCAATTTAAGAGTTCCTTTAAACTGTACTATTGTGATTATGATGACAATTTCTGGAGAAAAACATTAATAAAGTCTGAATTCCCAAGACAAACACAACTGATAAAGGTATCAAGTCCGCCCACCCAGCTCCATTCCCTCCTCACTGCCAGCACTCACTCTAAGAACCTCTGGGGGGAAATGTTCAGAGTTTAAGGGATAAGAACCCTTAAAATTGAGGTGGAAAAAAATCTCTAAAAAGTAGAAACACCCCAGCCGGAGTGGCTCAGCTGTTGTCAACCTATGAACCAGGAGGTCACGGTTCAATTCAGGTGAGGGCACATGCCCGGATGCATGCAGGAGGCAGCCGATCAAGGATTCTCTCTCATCACTGACGCTTCTATCTTTCTCTCCCTGTCCCTTCCTCTCTGAAATCAATAAAAAAATATACTCTAAAAAAAGTAGAATCAACTTAGAGAATTTAGTTTTTCAGGATTATCACCTAAATGGGATTTCTCGTCCAACCACCTGAATTTTTGTACTTGGTTGCTGTGTTGAGTAAAATTATAACAACTGCGCGTTTTATTGGGTTGCCAGCATTCTTTTTTACTCCACAGACCTCCTGAGTGTAGTAATGTTGGCAACGGCTTTCCTTTTAACAGCGACTGGAGCAGCCTAGACTGCTGTCGAGTTTACATAAATTGGAAGCACAGAAAGCTCCGAGTCGGTAACAGCTCCCCGAGGTGCCACCAGGGGAGCCCAGCAGCAAACAGCTCAGGAGCCCCAAAGATCAGCTGCAGAGACAAGTCTCCCCTCTGATCCAGACACTGAGCTGAAGAGAATGCTGACGCCACGACCTCGGCCTTGTGGCCTGGAGGCGCGGTCTAGGCGCCATTTCAATGCCATTCGTTCCATTTCAGAAGTAAACGTGATGGAGAACTGAGGGGAAACAGGGCTGTCACAAAAGCCAACAAGCCTTCTGCCTATATTACAGCAGCCAGGCCCCGGAGGAACGAGAATGCCGCTAGTTTAACTGTAAATGAATGTCAACCTCGGCATCTTCCTGCTCAGCTCAGGCCAGGACGCGGCACCGAACGGAACCACCGCACCAAGCAGCTGCGGGCCAGGACGTGTTACTAGGCTATGTGACTAAACCTTTACGCCCTTTAACTTCTAGAAATCTGATTCTGCCTCAGCTATACAGCCTTCTGCCTATATTACAGCAGCCAGGCCCCGGAGGAACGAGAATGCCCGCTAGTTTAACTGTAAATGAACGTCAACCTCGGCATCTTCCTGCTCGGCTCAGGCCAGGACACAGCACCGAACGGAACCACCGCACCAAGCAGCTGCGGGCCAGGACGTGTTACTAGGCTATGTGACTAAACCTTTACGCCCTTTAACTTCTAGAAATCTGATTCTGCCTCAGCTATACAGAATAACCCCCCAGGCTGGCTACTCTTGAAGGCAGCTGCTCTGGAAGGAGACCGCTTTCGAGAGGCACGGAGCTAAAGGATATCTTTCATTGTCTTTGTCATCCGTCAACTCGAACAGCTGCTGAGCACAATCCTTAATCAACTCGTCCAGAGCCTCTTCCATGGCCGACAGATCAGACAGCTCCTCCCGCAGCTTCTTCTGTTGGGGCACTGCTCCGAAATTGTTGAGATCGGATCCTCTTGGAAAGCAGGGGACAGGACCACTGTCAGCCACGCGCAGGAGATGGCGGAAGGACGCAGACTGGTTAGTGCCCTTCCCCCAGGTTCCATCAGCTGTTTCCCACGGACAGACACTTCGACTCCACCCCTGCCCTCCCCTTATTCTACATTACCATTATTCTCCCTCCACATAGCTGGGCTTGTCCCCACTTCTAGTCCCTTTCACAGGGACTTAACCAAACACAGCATAACCCCACGGGAAGCTTCATGAAGAGGCAGGGAAAGCTAACTGAGACGATCACTGCACTGAGAGTCGACAGTGCCCAGAGTAAGCCCAGCTCTACTGCACGCAGCCTGACTTTTGCCAAGTTATGATCTTTCAGTCCCTCAGTGTCTACATATGAAAAGCAAGTACTGGCTAAATGACAGTTCCTCTGCTAAATTTTTCAGTCTGTATTCTTCCCTATTGTGCATATTATATCTAGTTCTATCTGAATATAATGATTATATTCATTGTTCTTAAAAAATTTATTTTCTTTATTATTGTCTAACCCAACACATGACCTGAGTAACAACTGCTCTTTTTTTCTTCAAGCTTAATGAAAATAAAGACAGAAAAGACTGCTACCGCTATCTTTTCCTTGCCCATTTTCAACCTGATTCCCATTAGTGATACAGAATACAAACGATATTAACCACACCCTGCCCCCCCACCCCCGTGCTGTTTAATGTTATTTAGTAAACACGTTCCAATTAGACTTCAATCTGCATTTCTGTATTATTGGAAAAACACACCTCCTTTATAAACCCCTTTCCTCTCATAACCTTTAATTACTTAGAGTCATTCTGTGATCTTTGTTGGAGCTTCGTTTGCCTGCAAGGTCTCTATGTACTGACAGCTGGGACTGTTTCTTACTGGATGCTTGGAACTATTCCCCAGGCCACTTGCCTATTGTAAGCGTAACAGCTTTCTTATGGCATGTGCAGCACCCCCCCCTCCATATACCCAAATCTACCGACATCTATACTGTAAGGTCCTCTGTCATGTGACCCTTTCTAATCACATGTTGTCTTTAGCAATTGCCCTTTCGACATTAAGTCTACCCGTTTCCATTGCGGGCCATGAGTTTGTAAGTGTGATCCATCGTTTTTACACTCTCCTCCAGAACAGCGATCACAGCCCTGGGCTCTAAGTGTCTATTACACTATATGCAGGAACCACTGTGCTAAAACCTCATCTGATTCCCCCTGATATGAATCATCAATATGAACTGAAGAAATACTTTGAAAAGTGAGTATCTTAAAACCAATCATATTCCATTTAACTTATCCATAATATCCTACTGTCTATGACTCTTAAGTAGGAAAAAATAGCTATATATTCTGTGGGACAACGTAAAAAGATTTTATAGAACGCCTTTCCTAACAGAAGTCGAGTTTTCTTTCGTGAAACACTGCTCATACCCAGTTTGTGTGAAGCATGGCATTGTCACCTAACGAGAAGGAAAAAGCCATGGAAAGTTTGAAGCCAACTCACATCCATCGAATGTGGTTCTTCGATTTTTTTTCAACCAAGTCGATCCCATCTAAGACATTGGTGATGTCATACACTCTTCGTTTCCGGACTCCCAGTTTTGTTGGAACCTTGTTTAAGTCAAGAATACCCCCAGGAGCATTTCTGACAAGATCCATAAATTTCCGAGTTAAATACACCAGTGATACATCAAACCGAGGTGTCTTCACTTTTAGAGTTTCTGGGAAACAAAACAAACCCATTTGTAAAATTTTAAATATCATTTCTTTCTAAATTCATTTAAAATAATGTATTTCCTCTTGATTAGTAAGCACAGACACCTACAGAAATTCTATACACTGATCAAATCACAGCTAATTTTTATAAAAGATTTAGGAAATAATTTTATGAAATAGTTTCTCAAACTGGATAAAAATTAGCCTATTCCCAGGTAACAAAAGGCTTTAGACCAAGCATGTCAAACTCACGGCCCACAACGAATATTTTTGCGGCCCAGCCAACATAAGGGTATGTAAGAAACGTTTTAATAAAATTTTTGTAACTTAGTTTTTTCAATATCCTGTTATACATAATTATTAATAACGAAATACAACGTTTGCTAATGACTGATGACTATAATCGTGTTGCATTCATTTCCCTTACACGCAGGCTCAACATCTCTCTCCACTAATACTAGCAGCAAATATTTTAGCAGCCGATTGCCGTGTCATTAGTCTTGGGCTGACCGGAGGCAGTGGCTGAGGACTTGCCAGAACTGAATGTTACAATTCTCTTCATCTTTCCGAATTTGATACTGAAAAAGAGTCCTTATGGTTTGGTGTGCAGAGGAAATAAATTCACAAATCACGCAGCTGTTCTAGTGTGGAGTATATGAATTTTCTTTTTCTCTAGTTCCACAGCAAACCATAGTCAGTGTGCCTCAAAAGAAATATTCACACCCCCTCCATCAGAAGTGCCCGATCCAGAATCTCTGCAATGGCACACGCAGCTTCAAGACCACGCGGTTATTCCAAGAAAAACACCTATTTTATAACATAAATGTCTCCTTTGTGCAGGCCATTCCTACACTTGAGATTAAACAGGCTTAAAAAGAAATTTAAAAAAATTTTTTTAAGTGTAACTAGAAGAAAGTCACAATTCTACAACAAACCTTGGAAGATTACAAATTAGAAATTCTAACTTTAAGAAGCATGCAGCTAGCCCTGGCCGGTTGTGGGTACAATCACTGAAAGGTTGTGGGTTCGATCCTCAGGGTGCATACAAGAGGCAACTGATCAATATTTCTCTCTCACACTGATGTTTCTCTATCTCAGTGGTTCTCAATCTTCCTAATGCCTCGACCCTTTAATACAGTTCCTCATGTTGTGGTGACCCCCAATTTCATTGTTACAAATGGAACATAATTAAAGCATAGTAAGCCCTGACTGGTTTGGCTCAATGGATAGAGCGTCAGCCTGCGGACTGAAAGGTCCCAGGTTCAATTCCGGTCAAGGGCATGTACCTAGGTTGCGGGCACATCCCCAGTAGGGGGTGTGCAGGAGGCAGCTGATCGATGTTTCTCTCTTATCGATGTTTCTAACTCTCTATCCCTCTCCCTTCCTCTCTGTAAAAAATCAATAAAATATATTTAAAAAAAAATAAAGCATAGTGATTAATCACAAAAACAATATGTAATTATATATGTGTTTTCCGATGGTCTTAGATGACCCCGGTGAAAGGGTCGTTCGCCCCCCAAAGGGGTCACGACCCACAGGTTGAGAGCCGCTGCTCTATCTCCTCCTCTCCCTTCCTCTTTCTCTAAAATCAATAAAAAATAAACGAAAAGAAATAAAATAAAAACCATGCATTTAATTAAACTAGATTACTAGCAAGACATAGTATAAGCTCAGGACAAGTTTCCTATCATGTTAGTCCGTTTATAAAGAACAGACATTAGTTAAACACCTATAACTTGAAAGTGGCTGTAGGGAGATAATGATTACAAAGATCTCCACACTAAAAGCTTTCCCGAGTCTAGCAAAGGACTCGACCACAACACCGTGAGGGAAGTGCTAGCGAGGTATTTAGTTACTTGAGATGAAATGAAGCCGTAACTGGAGAGGGAGCTGGGAAGTCTCCGAGCAGGGAGATGCTGGGAACAGAGAACAGAGAGACGAGGAAGGGGTCCCCCACTCTGACGGGGGGACACACACGTCAAAGGACAGAGCAGCGTTTGAGGCCACGGCGCCGGGGGCGTCTGCAGGCTGTGGCTGTGGCAATGGGCGAGCAGCGAGTGCTGGCGGGTCGTTCGACCCCCAAAGGGGTCACGACCCACAGGTTGAGAGCCGCTGCTCTATCTCCTCCTCTCCCTTCCTCTTTCTCTAAAATCAATAAAAAATAAACGAAAAGAAATAAAATAAAAACCATGCATTTAATTAAACTAGATTACTAGCAAGACATAGTATAAGCTCAGGACAAGTTTCCTATCATGTTAGTCCGTTTATAAAGAACAGACATTAGTTAAACACCTATAACTTGAAAGTGGCTGTAGGGAGATAATGATTACAAAGATCTCCACACTAAAAGCTTTCCCGAGTCTAGCAAAGGACTCGACCACAACACCGTGAGGGAAGTGCTAGCGAGGTATTTAGTTACTTGAGATGAAATGAAGCCGTAACTGGAGAGGGAGCTGGGAAGCCTCCAGCAGGGAGATGCTGGGAACAGAGAATAGAGACGAGGAAGGGGTCCTCCACTCTGACGGGGGACACACGTCAAAGGACAGAGCAGCGTTTGAGGCCACGGCGCCGGGGGCGTCTGCAGGCTGTGGCTGTGGCAATGGGCGAGCAGCGAGTGCTGGCGCGGGGACGCGAGAGGTGGCCTTCCAGGGCCTTGCCGCTCCCTGTCCATTCCCTCCTGCCCGCTCCTTCTAGGGGTATGAGGTGGCCTATACACTTAACACAAATAAGTAAAGCCAAGTAAATGGGGAGCCGGGGCCTTCTCTGGAGGTAAGAGAGCATCACTGAGGAGTCAGGTGGAGTGACACCGCAGTCCCATTTCTGTCCGGGAAAAATCACACGGCAGCAGAGGGCTGAGCCTGGGAGCAGATGGCCTACGCAGGAGGCGGTGCCCACCTCAGGCTGGGAGCGTCTGAACTGCAGGCAGCAGCACAGCACGGTGGTTAGACCAGCCGTGGGCAAACTACGGCCCGAGGGCCGGATCCGGCCCGTTTGAAATGAATAAAACTAAAAAAAAAAAAGACCGTACCCTTTTATGTAATGATGTTTACTTTGAATTTATATTAGTTCACACAAACACTCCATCCATGCTTTTGTTCCGGCCTCCGGTCCAGTTTAAGAACCCATTGTGGCCCTCGAGTCAAAAAGTTTGCCCACCCCTGGGTTAGACTGTGGGCTTAAGTCAGAGAGGCCCGCGTGGGGCTGAGCCCTGACTGAGCAAGTTACTGAACCTCTCTGGGCCTCAGTTTACTCGTCTAGACAATACGAGTAACAACCCACACCCACATTGTGGAGGGTTGCTGTGACCGTCCATGCAAAGAGCTCACACGGGCCAGGTCTGGTGAGAGCTCAATAATGCCAGACAGTTCACGAAGCCGGTGGCACGGGGCAGAGGGAGGAGCACCTCCAGGGTAAAACCTGAAGACCGACGACGGTGAGATGATGGGGCTGAGGGAGAAGTGAGGGCTGACGTTAAGGTTCTACACGGGCATCACGTACGTGCTGTGGTCCAGTGAGAGCAGGACCCCATGAGGGGGCAGTGAGGAGGGGGCACTCTCATAACCGTTTCCAGGACAGGGAGCGGGGCAACCGCAGTCCCTCCCCTTTCACTGACCGACTCTGCCCAGGGCAGGAGTCAAAGGAAGAGACGGGAAATCCCAGGAGCCAGGAGGGAAGGGCCGGCTCCTGCTTCCTGTCCGTCGCTGGTTCTGCTGACGGCAGCGTGGACGGCCCCTCAGCCTTCGGGGAAACGCAGCAGAGCGTACACGCACCGTGCACAGCACTCAGCCCACATCCTCAGGAAACGCCAAGGGGTACACTTCAGCGCACAAATAACACATCTTATTTAAGTCGCTCATCAACTCATGTCCATTTAAAAGTAATCACTGAAATCATAGTTCAAACTTCAAAACCTAAAACCGCTTCAAGAATCAACTTACTTCTCATGGACACATACTGTACATTATCTTCTAAATTAATCATTATTTTTGATGGCTGGAAAAAAGAAACAAAGAGAAATTTAACTTAGTAACTTAAAAACAACAATGCACATGAACCGCATTTTACTGGGTAATATATAGATTTTCTTTTTCGCCCTGGGGTAGTAATTTGGGTGTGAGAGAACCAGTCCTTCTTCCAAATTATATCTAGTCTAGCTGTAATCACATCTGACAGTGTCATAGATTCAAATCTCTAAAGTAGTTCAAGAGAGAAAGGGAGGAGACACGAGGAGGGAGAGAGAAAACACAGACAGGAGAACATGCATCAGATACGGAGGAAGAAAGAAACACCGAAATGATCAGGACGCTCCCTGACGCTGGAAGGCTCCGTCGGGGTTCAGCGATGTCTAAGTCAGTAAGTGCTCCGTGCGAGTGGCTCCCACAGACGTGCCCGAGCTCTCCCAGGCAGCCGCGCGTGCCCATCACAGCCAATGCACAGGGAGCAGCCCTTCTCCGCTGGCCAGTACCGCGCTGCACAGCTAGCAGCTCTGGCGTTCAGACGAACAAAGGCTCCTGTGAATTCCTGAACAACCAGGAAGTGGTGGCTCCACATCAGCGTGTCGCCGTTTTATCAGCTATTTAGAGACGGTGAGAGTTTACAGAAACCTTTCGACGCCGCCGCGGACACAGGAACCCCCGTAAGCCGCCTGCTTAGAGCGAAGTACAATGAGGTGGCTCCAGACAGGCTGTGACCAATCAGGGTTAGCGCTTGTCCAAGTGGAAAACCTGGCCTCCAACAGGCACAGCGAAGCGGAGGTAAAGTGAGTTCTACGAGGTGCTCCCCGAGAAGGGGCAACAGGCTACCGTGGATGCACCCCGAGGGACTCAGGGTTCCCAGGGAAGGGCACGCTAGCACCAGGCTCAACATGGAAGACCATGAAAGCACACTAAGGAGGTTAGACTTTCTGTTATAACCCGTGGAGACTCACCACAGATTTCTGAACAATAATATGGCATATGCAAGCTCATAGTTTGGGAACGTAAGTCTGGGAGAAAAAGCAAAAAGACTGGGGCCTGGGGAAGCCTGAGGGTGAGCAGCTACAAAGCTCTTCGTTGATGAGTTACAAATTCTGGGCACCAGGGCTTCCATATTGTCTATGACATGATGACCGCCCCTATTAACAGGTTAACTTGATATGGAGCAATTCCCCGGAAAGAGAATTATGCTGTAAAATTAACTGCGTGTTAGGATTTAAAGAAAAATGTAGTCCTGCTGGGGTATGGGGAATCCATCCTCATCACGTCACTTAGCCCCCAGATCACCGCATGCACCTCACCCCTGGAGAGACCGGCGGGCTCTACCCTGAAAGGCCCTTGTAAGGCGTCACCCGAGAAAATGGTGACAAGGTGGAGTGGAGAGGGGCTGCCACTTGAGCTGAGGATAACAGGGCCCCTCAGGGTCACCCATTTCCTTTTTATTCTGAAACAATCTCAGCCTCAGAGAAGGTGCAGCAACGGTGCGAAGAAGTGCCACCTCCCGCCTCGGCCGGTGTCACTCGGGGCAGAGCATCAGCCCAACCCTGAATGGTCGAGGGCTCAATTCCCAGTCAAGGGCACGTACTTGGGTTGCAGGTTCGATCCCTGGCTCCAGTCCAGGTCTCTCTCACATCAATGTCTCTCTCTCTCTCTCCCCCTAAAAATCAATGGAAAAAGTATCCTCAGGTGAGGACTGACCCAAAAAAAGAAAAAAAAAAAAGCCACATCCCTTTCACCCAAATATTCATTTTTTTACATGACTTTATCATGTTTTGAACCATACACACACATGCTTTTTTCTCTGAATTGAGGGTAAACTGCAGATGCCTAAAGAATTCCGTGTGTAGCTCGGGGCATTCCCGTACACAACCACAGTATAATTACCGACAAGTCTGTTCAAGACTAAGCAGCCTTGGAAAAGAGCCAGTGGAACCTGGACTCGGAGGGCACTGGCTGCACTGCGGGAGGAGCACGCTGCGGGCAGCTGGAGCGGGCAGCTGGAGCGGGCACCCTGGCTGTGCTCAGAGCCTCAGCACCCGTCACTGCAGCGGTGTGGACAGCAGACGGTCACGTCATCTAACTAGGAGGCTGCCGTGCACAGGGTGGACGGTGGCACCTGGTTGTCCCTTGCAGTTCATAGTCAAATGTATTGAGGAAAGACCTGGTAAACAAACAGGTATTGGCTTTAACCATTTTGAGTGTCTCCAGAAGCTAAAAATTCATGACTTCCGAGAAAGACCGAATCTAAGGCGCTGCCAGGAGAATAGCCTAAAGAGGGAGGCGCGGGCACGCCCGCACACTTCGGGGTAACGCCCCAGCGCACCTGCCACCCTCAGGTCCTGGAGAGAGTGCCAGGGACCCCCCCCCCCCCCCAAGGTAGAGGGTTTGTCTCGAAGAAATCTGTGGGCGGGACGCTGGTCTACTGCGTAAACCACAAGTTTCAGTTTCTGACAGAACTGTATCAGCCACAACACGGCCAGCGTGGACTAACAAGGACACCCAGATTCTGACGGGAGGAGGCTGAAAGCCACTCAGCTGCAGGGAGACTCAGGGCGGCACCGAGAGCCCAGAGGTGGAGCAGGGAGAATTACTCCCAGGCCCTGGGACCCGATCAAGAAATCGCCCACATTGACCAGGCTGGGATCAGGAATCGCTCGGGCCAGTTCCCGCCCTGTGACTCCCACCTTCTGCCTCATGAACAGAACGTCTAGAGCAGCTGTCCTGTCTGGTGTGCGGGTCAGATGCCTCGTGACTTGCGTTCCACAGGCCGAAGGATCTGGAGGAACCACACCTGAGAGCGTGATTCTTACTGTACTTCTGTGAGTATGGAACCTGTTACTTTTTACCTGTCCAGTATCTTCAGAAGGTAGTCCTCGGAGGAATGCTCCCTCAAATCCCTATGGAACCTGCCCAGGTGCCACCATAGCTGCTTCTTCTAGTCCTGGCAGCCCACCGCTGTGGGGGCAGCACCCAGGTTCCTACTCTTTGAAGCAAGTCCCACTGAGAAGGGACTCCCAGGTAACGCCCCGAGGGGATGCCAAGGGAGAGCCCAGGAGCAGTCACACCTCATGACTGGACTACCTAAGACACTGTCCCTCCCACCCCTCCAGCCCCTCTCACCTGTTCGGGGCTATTACCTACCCTGAGAGATCCTAGGTGGTAAATGAACACAGGAGGCAGAGGCCTCCAATCGGAAAATCACTAAGGATGACCATGCACACAGCTCTCCGGGAACCGCCCCTCCTGGTGGGCAAGCCTGCCCATCCCACGCTGTTTTACTACGGCCCAAGCCCCACATCTGAAGACCTACACTTCTAAATCTGAGATCTCAAAGAAGAAAAAAAATAAATAAAAGGTGAGTTTTAAGGGCTAAAATCTTAGGCATTGCCTCTAAATTGGTTAAAAATTTCTTTATATTGCCGAAACCGGTTTGGCTCAGTGGATAGAGCGTCGGCCTGAGGACTGAAGGGTCCCAGGTTCGATTCCGGTCAAGGGCATGTACCTCGGTTGTGGGCACATCCCCGGAGGGAGATGTGCAGGAGGCAGCTGATCGATGTTTCTCTCTCACCGATGTAAAAAAAAAAAATCAATAAAATATATATATAAAAAAATTTCTTTATACAGATTTTTCTTTGTACCGATGGCCTGTTTGGGGAATAATATCCCCTTAAGAGCCTCTGAAAATAAACCTTTCTCCAAGGCAACTGTATTCTCCTCCCTCATTTAAATTTTCCTTATTTTTCAACGTGTGGACTAAGCCCCACCTCCAACAACACTACTCTCCCTTCTCAAAATGCCAGTGTTCCGGCCACTTACCGGAGCAATCAAACACTCGGCCAGATCCATCACTAACCTTAGCACAGCAATACGCTTCTATGTGTTTAATTATTAAATACTTCCGATCATCAGCCAGCTGAAAAGCACTGAGATAGGTGTGTGAATCAGCATCTTACAGGCAGGAAAATAAACACTCACACATCAAATATTTGCCATTTACAGAGTACCTGCTGCATTCACTCAATTGCTATTTACCAAGCCTTTTTGTGAGAGGCACCAATGTGCTGGACATGTAACCACACCTAGGGCCCTGAGAGTCCACATTGCAAAGGGGGCGAGTGAGCCCTGGTGCGTGGGAGCACCCAGGAGCGTGGGAGCACCCAGGAGCGTGGGAGCACCCAGAAGTGGCGCTAACCCAGGGCTGAGCCGTCAGGGGAGCCTTCAGACAAGTGACCTGTAAGTCTAGACCCGAAGAACCGTGGGACATAACAAGAAAGTGTTAGGAAGAAAAAACGGTTTTGGAAGGGGGATTGTGGCTCTGTAAGGGTCCAAAAGAATAAGGAGACGCATAGAAAAAGGGGGGCAACACAAGCAGGAAAGCTGGTTAGGAAGGCGTTGCAATGACCTGAGAATAGATGAAAGTGGCAAGTACTGGTGATTTATTCTCCTTAGACCGGAAGATGGAGGGACGCAGTTTGGAAAAGGCAAGGACGCTGCTTAGGTTAGGAGCGTGGGCAACATGGTGAGTGCGTTACCATTTACTTATTAGATAGGACATAGCAAACTTGCTGCTTGCTTAGCAAGAAGATAATGAGTTCAATTCCAGATAGAGGAGTTTCCAATCTAAGTGGAGATCTCTAGGAGACAGCTGAAAAGCTGTGAGCTGGGTTTGTAGACCTGGGCGTTACTACGACGTGGAAACTGAAATGAACAGCGGGTGAGAACATCTCAGACTGCGAAGGGTGTGCGCACCTTCTGATATTAAATGCAAAATCAAGAGGTTTTTCCACAGTGAGAGAGCAGAGCTTTTATCATCTGCTCAAAGACGAAGACCACCAACACGGAGGGTAACAGACGTCCTGAGCTGGTGGCGAACGACTTCCCACGTGAAGAGTGGTAGGGAGGGTCGAAGGCAGCCCTGAGTGACCCCCACACAGAAGGGAGGGGAAGGGGAGTCTGCAGGAGCACAGGCGAGGCCAGTGGAGTGGACGGGCACCAGCGATGCGGGGGTAAAGAAGCCATTCAACAGCGAGAGTCTCCGACAGAAACAAGCGGCCAGTCCTATCAGAACCGCAGAGACAAGGGGCGCAGCGTCCCCCGGAACTAACAATGCTGTCCGCAGCCTGGGTGAGAACAGCCTGAGCGCTGGGCGGAGGGCAGAGGTCCCCGGCAGCGGGTGAAGGTGGTAAGGAGAGATGAGCGAGTGGGCACAGTAAATGCAAACAATTCTTTTCCAGAAAGTGTGGCTATGAAGGGGAAGCGATGCAGATGATGGGAGGGTATGTCGAAGTGTGGGAAGGATCTCTGAAGAAGCAGCTAAGAGTTTACCGTCTGGAATCAGACACAGCGAGGTCCAACCCAGGCTTCCCTACATACTGCCTTCCCCGGGCAGCCAGCCACCTCCAGGTCTATTCTGGCAACTGCAAGACAAGAATAATAATCTCTTAGGGCCGCTGTGAGAGGCTAAGTAAGATCGTGTCATTCGACTACTTTCGTGCACGGAGTCCCCCTGCGGACTGGGCACAGCGGCCAGTTATGGGAGGAAATCAGCAGAGAAATAGAAAACACGGGAGAAATGGGAAATGCAGAGTTCGTCCCAACCCCGAGGACCAAGGAGGAGGAGACACATCACATCAAGTCTAGAGCAAGAATAAAGGGAATCAACCTTTTGCAGGAAAGGAGCCCATTTTTCTCCGCCTGAGGGGACAGGAGAGACTCTGCTGAAAGGGGGAGGGGGGGACGCGAGGTGTGGAGGAGCTTTGACATGGTCGCAGGGGAGAGGAGGAGGGGAGAGGAGGAGGGGAGAGGAGGCAGGAGAGACTGGAGCTCGCAGAGACACGGAGGGTGGGTTACAAGCAGGAAACAAGGTTTCCTACCAAAGTTGAGCAACCGTCTCCGCCCCTGCCCTGCAGCCCCGCAGTGAATGCCAAAGAGGGCCGCCGACACTTGCGAGAGTCTGTGCTCCAGGGAGGCGAGGGGGTTTGGCGAGGGACCGGTTGGTGTGCAGTCTGCCGCCGGTGGGGAGCTGAGGGGCCGGGGAGCTGAGGGGCCGGGGAGCTGAGGGGCCG